TGCCTTTGTCTATGTGTCTAATCTACATGCCTCTGACGACAGAGTCATGTAGTCTAGACACAGCCTATATGCACAGCCTGCTGACCTTGTAAAGCTTGTCCTTTGGACCAATGCCTCCACAGTAGGAGGTACGTCTACACTGTGGGCTAAAGTCGAATTAAGATACGCAACTTCAGCTAGGTTAATTGTGTCGCTTAAGTCAAAGTAGCTTTACTCGACTTTTGGTGCTGTCCACACCTTAGGAAGTTGAAGGAAGAATATGGTTCCTTCGACTTCCCTTACTCCTCCTGAAATGAGGGTTACAGAAGTTGGAGTAAGAAGCCTGTTATTTCAAAATTATTTTGAAATAATAGGCTTGCTGTGCAGACACACACTCTGTTAATTCAAAATAACATGAGTTATTTCAAAATAAGCATGCAGTATAGACATCAGGGCTGACTTATCCATTAGGCAGAGTATGCACTGCCTAGGGCCCACGATACTTTTAGGGGCCCCCAAAAATGTTTTAATTTTTTTCTCACATCAGAAAAAAAAATGAAACTTTTAGGGCCCACAAAAATCTATTAAATTTTGCCTAAAATAGAAAAAAAATAAAATGTTGAAGTATTTAAAGTTATATCAAAAATAATCTTTAATAGTGATATTATTATGGTGGGAGGGGCCCACGAAAGTCATAATGCGGCCCTGATAGACGTAGCCTAGGAGTGCCAGTTTTGGATATATTCCTAGAAGTTTCCTCATGATAGGGTGGAAAGGGACTTGGAAAGGTCACCAAGTCAGTCCCCAGCACTGCAGGCATGGACTTAAAAAAAGTGCTCAACTCCCAGCTATGCCCCAGTTCCCACTCCCACTCTGCCCCTTCCCCTACGGCTCTAACTTACCTCACCTCTTGCCAGCCAGTTCCGTGCCTTCCCTCAGTGCACAGCATCCCTGCTCCCCCTTCAGCCCAGAGCCTCAGTGAAACAGCTGATTGCAGCAGGCAGGTGTGGAGAAGGAGGAGGTATTGATCTGGGAGGGGGTGAGGGCTGTGGGGTGAGGGGGGCTTTGGGAGGGGGTGAGGGCTGTGGTGCAGGGGTGTCTGAGGGATGGGGATGAGGGCTGTTGGGACTCTGTGGGGAGGGGAGCTGTGGGGGGCTCTGGGAGGGGGTGAGGGCTGTGGTGCAGGGGTGTCTGAGGGATGGGGATGAGGGCTGTGGGGTGAGGGGGGCTCTGGGAGGGGGTGAGGGCTGTGGTGCAGGGGTGTCTGAGGGATGGGGATGAGGGCTGTGGGGTGAGGGGGGCTCTGGGAGGGGGTGAGGGCTGTGGTGCAGGGGTGTCTGAGGGATGGGGATGAGGGCTGTGGGGTGAGGGGGGCTCTGGGAGGGGGTGAGGGCTGTGGTGCAGGGGTGTCTGAGGGATGGGGATGAGGGCTGTGGGGTGAGGGGGGCTCTGGGAGGGGGTGAGGGCTGTGGTGCAGGGGTGTCTGAGGGATGGGGATGAGGGCTGTGGGGTGAGGGGGGCTCTGGGAGGGGGTGAGGGCTGTGGTGCAGGGGTGTCTGAGGGATGGGGATGAGGGCTGTGGGGTGAGGGGGGCTCTGGGAGGGGGTGAGGGCTGTGGTGCAGGGGTGTCTGAGGGATGGGGATGAGGGCTGTGGGGTGAGGGGGGCTCTGGGAGGGGGTGAGGGCTGTGGTGCAGGGGTGTCTGAGGGATGGGGATGAGGGCTGTGGGGTGAGGGGGGCTCTGGGAGGGGGTGAGGGCTGTGGTGCAGGGGTGTCTGAGGGATGGGGATGAGGGCTGTGGGGTGAGGGGGGCTCTGGGAGGGGGTGAGGGCTGTGGTGCAGGGGTGTCTGAGGGATGGGGATGAGGGCTGTGGGGTGAGGGGGGCTCTGGGAGGGGGTGAGGGCTGTGGTGCAGGGGTGTCTGAGGGATGGGGATGAGGGCTGTGGGGTGAGGGGGGCTCTGGGAGGGGGTGAGGGCTGTGGTGCAGGGGTGTCTGAGGGATGGGGATGAGGGCTGTGGGGTGAGGGGGGCTCTGGGAGGGGGTGAGGGCTGTGGTGCAGGGGTGTCTGAGGGATGGGGATGAGGGCTGTGGGGTGAGGGGGGCTCTGGGAGGGGGTGAGGGCTGTGGTGCAGGGGTGTCTGAGGGATGGGGATGAGGGCTGTGGGGTGAGGGGGGCTCTGGGAGGGGGTGAGGGCTGTGGTGCAGGGGTGTCTGAGGGATGGGGATGAGGGCTGTGGGGTGAGGGGGGCTCTGGGAGGGGGTGAGGGCTGTGGTGCAGGGGTGTCTGAGGGATGGGGATGAGGGCTGTGGGGTGAGGGGGGCTCTGGGAGGGGGTGAGGGCTGTGGTGCAGGGGTGTCTGAGGGATGGGGATGAGGGCTGTGGGGTGAGGGGGGCTCTGGGAGGGGGTGAGGGCTGTGGTGCAGGGGTGTCTGAGGGATGGGGATGAGGGCTGTGGGGTGAGGGGGGCTCTGGGAGGGGGTGAGGGCTGTGGTGCAGGGGTGTCTGAGGGATGGGGATGAGGGCTGTGGGGTGAGGGGGGCTCTGGGAGGGGGTGAGGGCTGTGGTGCAGGGGTGTCTGAGGGATGGGGATGAGGGCTGTGGGGTGAGGGGGGCTCTGGGAGGGGGTGAGGGCTGTGGTGCAGGGGTGTCTGAGGGATGGGGATGAGGGCTGTGGGGTGAGGGGGGCTCTGGGAGGGGGTGAGGGCTGTGGTGCAGGGGTGTCTGAGGGATGGGGATGAGGGCTGTGGGGTGAGGGGGGCTCTGGGAGGGGGTGAGGGCTGTGGTGCAGGGGTGTCTGAGGGATGGGGATGAGGGCTGTGGGGTGAGGGGGGCTCTGGGAGGGGGTGAGGGCTGTGGTGCAGGGGTGTCTGAGGGATGGGGATGAGGGCTGTGGGGTGAGGGGGGCTCTGGGAGGGGGTGAGGGCTGTGGTGCAGGGGTGTCTGAGGGATGGGGATGAGGGCTGTGGGGTGAGGGGGGCTCTGGGAGGGGGTGAGGGCTGTGGTGCAGGGGTGTCTGAGGGATGGGGATGAGGGCTGTGGGGTGAGGGGGGCTCTGGGAGGGGGTGAGGGCTGTGGTGCAGGGGTGTCTGAGGGATGGGGATGAGGGCTGTGGGGTGAGGGGGGCTCTGGGAGGGGGTGAGGGCTGTGGTGCAGGGGTGTCTGAGGGATGGGGATGAGGGCTGTGGGGTGAGGGGGGCTCTGGGAGGGGGTGAGGGCTGTGGTGCAGGGGTGTCTGAGGGATGGGGATGAGGGCTGTGGGGTGAGGGGGGCTCTGGGAGGGGGTGAGGGCTGTGGTGCAGGGGTGTCTGAGGGATGGGGATGAGGGCTGTGGGGTGAGGGGGGCTCTGGGAGGGGGTGAGGGCTGTGGTGCAGGGGTGTCTGAGGGATGGGGATGAGGGCTGTGGGGTGAGGGGGGCTCTGGGAGGGGGTGAGGGCTGTGGTGCAGGGGTGTCTGAGGGATGGGGATGAGGGCTGTGGGGTGAGGGGGGCTCTGGGAGGGGGTGAGGGCTGTGGTGCAGGGGTGTCTGAGGGATGGGGATGAGGGCTGTGGGGTGAGGGGGGCTCTGGGAGGGGGTGAGGGCTGTGGTGCAGGGGTGTCTGAGGGATGGGGATGAGGGCTGTGGGGTGAGGGGGGCTCTGGGAGGGGGTGAGGGCTGTGGTGCAGGGGTGTCTGAGGGATGGGGATGAGGGCTGTGGGGTGAGGGGGGCTCTGGGAGGGGGTGAGGGCTGTGGTGCAGGGGTGTCTGAGGGATGGGGATGAGGGCTGTGGGGTGAGGGGGGCTCTGGGAGGGGGTGAGGGCTGTGGTGCAGGGGTGTCTGAGGGATGGGGATGAGGGCTGTGGGGTGAGGGGGGCTCTGGGAGGGGGTGAGGGCTGTGGTGCAGGGGTGTCTGAGGGATGGGGATGAGGGCTGTGGGGTGAGGGGGGCTCTGGGAGGGGGTGAGGGCTGTGGTGCAGGGGTGTCTGAGGGATGGGGATGAGGGCTGTGGGGTGAGGGGGGCTCTGGGAGGGGGTGAGGGCTGTGGTGCAGGGGTGTCTGAGGGATGGGGATGAGGGCTGTGGGGTGAGGGGGGCTCTGGGAGGGGGTGAGGGCTGTGGTGCAGGGGTGTCTGAGGGATGGGGATGAGGGCTGTGGGGTGAGGGGGGCTCTGGGAGGGGGTGAGGGCTGTGGTGCAGGGGTGTCTGAGGGATGGGGATGAGGGCTGTGGGGTGAGGGGGGCTCTGGGAGGGGGTGAGGGCTGTGGTGCAGGGGTGTCTGAGGGATGGGGATGAGGGCTGTGGGGTGAGGGGGGCTCTGGGAGGGGGTGAGGGCTGTGGTGCAGGGGTGTCTGAGGGATGGGGATGAGGGCTGTGGGGTGAGGGGGGCTCTGGGAGGGGGTGAGGGCTGTGGTGCAGGGGTGTCTGAGGGATGGGGATGAGGGCTGTGGGGTGAGGGGGGCTCTGGGAGGGGGTGAGGGCTGTGGTGCAGGGGTGTCTGAGGGATGGGGATGAGGGCTGTGGGGTGAGGGGGGCTCTGGGAGGGGGTGAGGGCTGTGGTGCAGGGGTGTCTGAGGGATGGGGATGAGGGCTGTGGGGTGAGGGGGGCTCTGGGAGGGCCCCAGCGAGCGGGGCAGCAGCAGCTGAGTGAAGCCGGATGAGCCCCCCTTCCCCCCACCTCTGAGCTCGCCGGTCCCAGCGGGACACACTCCCGCTGGGAAGTTCACGCATCAGCTGGAAATGTTGTTCCCTTGTTGCCATTGACACGCTTCTACTTCCCCACAGACACCCCACGAATAGGCAGGCTCTGGCCAAGTCCTGGTGGCTGCTGGCTGCTGCGCTCCTGTAACTACAGCCTCGCTGCACTGGCTTCGCAAAGATTCCACGTGGCTGGATTCACAGTCCCCGAGCCAGTGGTCCTAAGACCCAAACCCCTCCTCCAGTCAGTGGAAAAACCCTGATCCTAGGACATAGAAATGCAGAGTCACCCCCTTGCCCAGCCAGGTGTTGGGAGCAGGAGCCACACAAGAGCTGACCTGTATGGCATCCTTGCCTACCCCAGTGAGTGCTGATGTCTTAGCTCGTGTTTCTAAAAATAGGTAGGGAGATTTTAGACATGGAAAGTGACGTGTAAATGGCATCACAGATCCTACAGGAACTATGCTGACTGCCTCAGAGGGAAGCACAGAACAACCCCCCCCAAAAAGACACTGCTTTATAGGACTTGACCTTCCCACCTCTTTAATTGAATTCCCTAGATATATAGGATTACGAAACTGCAGCACCTGATTCCTCTGAGACTCAAGGTTCATTCCTATTGTAACTCTTTCCTAAATAAATACACACAGAGAGGTACAAGTTGGTCACAGTATTTTAGGACAGAATGATGAAGGAACATAGGATTAAGAAGGCAGCATGAAAAATGTAATGGAAAGATGTAAGATACGTGCACATCTTTTCAAAGTGAACGTGCAGAGTTAAGGCATGTCTGCACTAAGGATGTTAAATTGCGTTTAATGAGCTAATCAAGTAGTCGATGGCTTTTAAGCCTGCTCTCCTCAGCTCCTGCTCCCTTCTTCCCCGCTGCCTCTGATAGAAGTAACAAGGGGGGGAGAAGCAACTAGTAAACTAGTGACTCAACTACCCGAGAAGCCCAGGCTTATCAGGTAGTCAACTATTCGACTAGTCGCTTACATCTCGGCTTTGTCTACACTGCCTGCAAAGCCTATGCAAATGAAGCGTGGATTAGCATTTTGCCATGCTTCGTTTGCATCATTTATTCAAGCCATTTTTACACAAGGGGTTTTTGCTTAAAAACAAGCAGTGTGGACTCTTCTTTTGCGCAAAACCCGTTTTGCACAAGGTCCTTATGTGAGGCATTCTTACCTACCCCAGTGGGTGCAAGGCATAAGGATCTTGTGCAAAATGGGGGTTTTGCACAAAAAAATTCCATCCACACTTATTGTTTTTGCGCAAAAACCTCTTGTGCAAAACCAGTTTGAATACATTATGCAAATGAAGTGTGGCAAAATGCTAATCTGCGCTTCATTTGCATAGGCACTGCCCACAAAGCCGGCAATGTAGACGTAGCCCACTAGGGAATTATTTCGAAATAGCTCTCAGTATTTTTAAATAAAAAGACGAGCATCCACGTTACCAAGCCCCTTATTTCAAAATAAGTGGAAGTTATTATTTTGAAATAATAACTTCCACTTGTGAAGTGGAATAGTGCTGTTTTGAAATAGTTATTTCAGGAGTTATTTCAAAATAACTTCCCAGTGTAGATGTGCCCTTAGAGAAATCACTTTCAGAGGGACTTAGGAAACTAATAAGTAACTTTAAAATCCAAGTCAGACGGGACCATTGTAATCATCTGATCTTGCAGTATAAACTTCAGAGTTTTGCTAAGTAATTCTTGCCATGACTCCCATAATTTCTGGTTGAAGTACAGCAGTGTCTTTCCTGTGTTTTTTTTTCCCAGTACATATTAAAACACAGAATTAATTTAGGCTGGTCAGGGTGCTTTTACTGTTATTACACAAAGCATGTTAAACAAACATCTGTCAGGGAAAGCTTAAATATTTAGTCCTGCCGTGCAGGGGCTAGATTAGAAGACCTCTCAAAGTCTCTTTCAGTTCTGTGATTCTATTAAGAATCACTGAGCTAGAGCAGTGTTTCTTAACCATTTTTATAAAGTACCCCTTTTTAAAAAAAAAAAAAAAATCCCCAGTACCTAGTTTTCAGACATACAAATTTTTTTTCTACCATTGGAACACATTTATTTAAACGAGTTAATCGTAGCCAAGAGGGCGATTACATTTTTGGGTGTAAAAAGTACAAAAATAATAAAGTGCTGTAAAACTTAAAACAAAAATTCAGTTTTCTTCAAATTTTAGTTGTGTTGACGTATCCCCCAGACTTCTCTTTGAAAGACTAAATTATGGATCCGCTACATCTGTAGGTAACGTCTTCTAGTGATTAACTGTTCTCAATGCTAAAAATTTGCTCAGTTTGCTCTCAATGTTAAAAACCTTATTTCTAGCCTGAATTTGTCTTGCTTCAGCTTCCTGACCCAGTTATGTCTTTGCTAAATTGAAGAGCCTTCTAATATGAGAAATCTCTCCCCCACATAGATATAGGTTGGACCTCCCTGGTCCAGCATACTCGGGACTTGCATGGTCCCAGGCAAGGGAGTTTGCCTGACCAGGGCCACTCAGGCTAGCTGCCTACTGTGCTGCAATGTGCTGCCAGTTCCCAGATGGGCTGCGCTATGCTGCCAACCCCCAGCGGGGCTGTGAATTCTGGACCAGAGAAGTTCAACCTGTACTTACAGAGGTGATCTTGGACAAGATAAACAGATTGAGCTTCTTTAGTTTCTGACAGACACAGGCTTTCCAGATCTCAGATCATTCTTACAGCTCTTTCTGAACCTTTTTCAATTTAACTTTTTAAAAATTCTGGACGTAGAAACTGGACACAGTTCTGCAATAGTTTCACTGATTTCCTGGGCAGAGGCAGTACCACTTACGTACTGCTTTTCAAGATGCCCCTTGTACATCACAGGGTCACATTTGCTGCAATGCATTGCCCTGCAAGCTCATATTTGGTTAGTTATCTACCAAGCACTTCAGTCCTTTTCAGATTTGGACATTTCTGAAAATGGACATATGTGCCTTTGAAAATATTAGCCAGCATCTGAGCAATCCAAATGCAATTTAAAATAATCTCCCCCTACTGTCTGCTCTCCAACAGTGTAGGTCTTCACTTTCTGTTTCTTTATTTTAGGACTTGTCTTCATGGCCAAGGTAGGCTACTATTCAATTTAGCAAAACTCATTAGGGCTGCTAACACACATTCTACTTTGCATCAAGCCCTTAATCAGAGATGACTGGGAAAGGATGGTTATTCCCATTGTTAGTTACATTGCCAATTTTCTTGACATTTTTGGGAATTTCAGGAAACTTGAGAACCAAACATTTCTCTCTTTTTTGACAAAAACCTGAAGATTTTCTATGCAAATAGTTCCCTCTCCCCAAAATTTAGTTTTTTTAAATAATCATTTTCTATCAAAAGTGATTAGATGGGAAATTTTCAGCTTCTTAAATATCTTATGTTGGGATTTAGGTGTGACTAAGATTTAGATGTGACTAAGATTTTATTAAATTCTATGCATCTTGATTCCACAGAATGACTCAGTGGTACCAGTTGCAGCAGCTTGATTCCAAATTCTTGGAACAAGTACATCAGCTGTATGATGACAGCTTTCCTATGGAAATCAGACAGTATCTGGCACAATGGCTGGAAAATCAAGACTGGTGAGAGCGAAGTGCTGTAATGTATATTGGAGTTTGTTGTTGCATTATTTAGCCAGTGATGCCTGTGAAAGATATGATACTAGCTTCTGACCTTGTGTGAAGGTAGATGGCTTTCACTGACAAAACACCATGCGTGCTTATCTAAGAACCTCTGCTGTATGATGAAAACAAGCATCCACTTAGGGCAGCAAACTGTTCAGTAAGTTTTTGTGAGGGTGACAACTGGGAGGTAGGAACAGAGGAGCCTATGTGCTGCTAGTCACTGTTTCCCATTGCACTTACCAGTCTGGGTGATGCTTACTGGTTAATGGTTAACTGGTGCCTTATGCTGCTGGCAGCTGGGGCTGGTGTGGCTGGAGCTGGAAGCGCGCAGAGCCAGCTCCAGCCGCAATTTGAGTTGTGAGATCCCTCTGGTCAGTAACCAAGTTAAAAGGTTAACCTTTTGTTTAACTGGTTAATTAATGAACCAGGATTTTACATCCCTAATAAGAATCCTGCAACACCAGTACCTATGGCTGTACACAACTGTTTCCCTGTTTCCTTTGTCCACCAGGGAAAGATTTATGGTTATTTATAAAAGGATTTAGGGGTCAGCTTTTCAGTTTCATCTCCACTAGCAAACTGAAGTATTGCTAAAATCTCTAGAAAATATTTTTATAGCGCTTCATTAGCGTGCAGACGAATAGATCTCACTTCCAGATTCTCAGTATGAGGTCCTCAGTGGTGATTAATGGTAGATACATATGCAAACACACAAATGTTGCAAGAGTAATCCTAGGAAAAATAAAAGAAAGTATTACTCATTTTAGTCATTTGAGATGAGAATGAAGGAGTTACCAAGAATGGAATTGAATGAAATTTACACACACCTATTCAATGCTTTTAAAAACTAAGACCAGAATCTTAAAAAAAAATTGCATTCACTTACCTTGCTAAAAATCAATGTCACAAGGAGGAAGGCGAAAATGTGTTCCTCTTGGTTTCTGAGGACAGGACAAGGAGTAATGGGCTTAAAGTGCAGCAGGGGAGGTTTAGATTGGACATTAGGAAAAAATTCCTAACTGTCAGGGTGGTCAAATATTGGAATAAATTGCCAAGGGAGGTGGTGGAATCTCCCTCTCTGGAGATATTTAAGAACAGGTTAGATAGACATCTGTCAGGGATGGTGTAGGTGGAGCTTGGTCCTGCCTTGAGGGCGGGGGGCTGGACTCGATGACCTCTCGAGGTCCCTTCCAGTCCTATTATTCTATGATTCTATGATTCTATGAGTTGCGTTTAATATTAAATATACCTTAAATATCCTAGGGAGCATGCTGCCAACAACGTTTCATTTGCTACAGTACTGTTCCATGACCTCCTGTCACAGTTAGATGATCAGTTCAGTCGGTTTTTAATAGAAAACAACTTTTTGTTGCAACACAACATAAGGAAAAGCAAACGAAATCTTCAGGTATGTGTGTGACTATCATGGTATTAGAATCATATTTTTTTCAAGAAAATATTCTTTTAGCTTAAATATTACAAGTTAAAGGTTATACTTGTCTGAGCTTTTTTTCTTAAAACTTATGAATAGTACATGTAACTCCTGAGTCCTTTAACAGTTTAAAGAAATTATCTTTTTTCCAATTTACAATGTTTATTTCTAGCACTTCGTGTAGGTGCAAGAACCCTGCAAAACCAGCATGTACAGTAGGTATATGAAAGGTTAAGCCTAGACATCTACAGTAGGTATATAAAAGGTTAATCCTGTTGACTACAAGCATTCACCCCTCACCCTTGGTGCCTCTGTATCAGAGGCAGCAAGATGTGGGGGAGTGGAAGCTGGCACCTGTGAGGAGCCGGCTTAAAGCCTGTCCCCCACGAGCACAGAATCCGTCTGCCCTTCCCACCCCCACGCTGCTGCCTCTGATAGAGTGGCAACAATGCGGAGTATGAGGGGGGTAGGTGGGAGCCGATATGTGCGGGGAGCTCTCCATGCATGCTGGCCTGTCCTCCTCCCCCCCCCTTGCTGCCTCCTACAGAGGCATCAAGGGTGGGGGAAGAGGGTGGGGAGGAACAGATGCTGGGAGGAGGTGGCTTTAAAGCTGGTTCCCCCAGCATTGGCTCTGTGGTGCCTGCCCTGCCCTCTGCACTTGGTTGCCTCTATCAGAGGCAGCAGCACAGGGGATGAGGCATGGGAGGCTGCCACAAAGCAATCTTTCTGTGCAGTGGGCCTGGGCCCACCATGGACTGAGGCTGCTCCTCAGCAGCAGGCCCTCTCCCCACAGACCCCTCGGTCCCCGCG